TCCTGGTGTAAAATTTGGTGACGGCCTACTTTTCTCGCCCAAGCCCTGCCTTCTTTATGCTCATGAAGGCCGTTACCCTGGTACCCGGGCATGTGTTGGGCTTGCCTGCCTCTTACCATTCTCTCAGGGAGCAGGGAGTTACACATTGGGCTCACTCCAAGCCGTTTGAACCCACCAGGTGCTCCACGGGAAAATGATGAGGCTCTGCTCCCTCATGGATGAACCACCTTGGGCAACTGTAGGGAGTTCTACTCTGCCCTTACAGGGTCATTATGCATCCAAGCTGACTCTATGGCCATCCCTTGGCTCTGGGCCATTGTCCTGCAATTCATCACTTCAGCTAGAAAGCTGGCTCCCTCTCTGCCTTTGCACTGAAATGCAAGGGCCTTGGGCTAACGCGGCTCCTGCTGCTCTCCCCCCTCCATCTATGTGCACTGCATTCACGGGCTTCCTTCTCTCAGGATTACCTGGGGGTTTCAGGTCAGCTCCTGTGGGCCCATCTCCCCAGACAAGTATACTACCTGGTGCAAACTCGTGCTGGTGGAACGGATGTTAAGATTCATAGGGGGCTCTGTGCCAATATGAAATAGAATCGAGATTTGTCTTCCCCAACTGAAATTGGATTATTTTGTAATGTGTGCCTGGTACTTCAGAGAAGGGAGGCAAGATTTTGAGTCATAACCTGTGTGATAGGAGCCCCGGCAGGATAGTTGTTACACATTGGGCTGCAATCGGCAAGGTCCCAAGTTCGAAACCACCAGCCATTCCAAGTGAGAAAGACCGGCTTTCTTTCCACGCTCACCAAGTGACACCTCAGATCCACAGGGGCAGCTCTACCCAGTCCTGTGGGGTCGCTTTGAGTAGGCATCTCTATGGCAGTGAGTTTTTGTTGCCGTTGCCCTGTGTGATCCACTCCATCCCTCCCCTCACAGCTGTCTCCTTACTTTTCTATGTCCCAGGGGAATGGTGTGGCAATGGTGGAATCTGGCAGATCTTACCACACACTACCCCTCCTCCACACTACACATGCAAACACAATCAGATTTGGTTCAGGCCTCAAAATGACCGAAGACCTTCCTGTTTTAACTCCCCATTGAGGAAACTCTGGGGGGACGGGATTGCTCCCTCCGGATCGAGGTCAGGCCCTGTTTCTTTCTGATGGAAATGGAAGCACAGCTACAGTGGGGCCCCTAATGGCTTCTTTCTTCACCCCCCACACTTCAAGTACACTCTGCCCCCACTCCCCTATCCCATCGCCATCACCCTTTTTCCCAGTGGTGATGGGCGAGTAGGGGTGCTTGGCAGATAGACGGCTATAGAGCCTACCTTCCTCCACCCCCTGCCTCCGAGCTGTGAGGCGGTGACTGCACAGGTGCACACCACAGAGGAGGGCTCCTCTGGCTTCTTGTCTGGCCCTCACCGCTCTGACATTGGCATCATTGTCCAAGCATTTTCAAGATCAACGAGTTCAAACGCTTCCTCTTGACAAAGAAAACTGGAAGCAGGGAGAGTCTACAGGCTTGAGTTCTTTGTGTCTCAAGGTGGAGAAGGGAGATTATACCTAGAGTCTAAACTTAGCTAGGGCAGGGCCCGGCCGGCTGCCAGCCTGGAGACTGACTTGGTAACTGCAGATGGTTAACTTTGGCCTGTGAGTTTCTACATGGTTTGGGCCGATAGCTGGCAGCTGATTTCCACCTTCAATCTTGGGGGCAACAGTCAAAGTGGTGGGTTGGGGAGGGGGGGTTGGGAAGCTCCAACAAAATGCCCTCCCCCGGCATGGCTTTGGTATTTAAAGAGGGAAAGTACGTAAAGGTATGGCAGGGTGAAGTCACACAAGAGCATACACTCCTCCACCAACACAGAATTAACCAACAGGCGAGCTTCACCCGAAGGGCCCACTGTGTTGCTTGGCACCTTAAATCCCATTCCAGGGGCTTTCTAGAAGCGGAATCATTTTTACAGCCTATTAAAATGAAAAACCCAGTCCTGGCAACCAGCAGTTTCACACCAGGGTGGCCTTTCCCTGCCACCACCGAGAGCCCTTACTGTACGCAGAGATTACTGACGGACGCAGTTGCTACCTGGGAAGCTGGAGCATGCGTGTTTGACTTTCGATGTGCCGGAGGGCAGTGCTGATGACTGCTGTCCACGGGCTGGGTCACGTGAGGAGGCCCACTTCGACAGGTCAGAGCTGTTGACACTCAGAAGACAGAGAGTCTAGACCCCGCCTCTGCACTTAGAAGCTCCTCTGGGGAGCATGACTCAATGCACTCCACAGTGACTCTGCACCGTGAATAACACCATACATTTGCGTTTATTACACTGTCCGTGGAGGTCAAATGTGAGCTGGGGAAACGTTTAACAGGGTCACGGAGTGGCTAGATCTCAGGATAGAGTCCCTCAACTCTGGAAGCCCCGGAGATCCACTCAGCTGTTTCACGCGTTGACCTTGAAGATGGACGGGAAGGACAAAAGGACTGCCTGGAGTAGGGTAGAGTGTCATTAATGCTTTATTTACATGCGTCACCATCTCTTTTACAAACTAAGTGGGATACACAAGGCAGTATCTACAAACACCAAAGAGTATTGTGTTTTGATTTCACTTGGAAAGGGGAAGATTCCCAAATCAAACTGGTTTGGATCCTTGAGAAGAAAGGTGGTAGAGTTAAGTCATGGCCACTGTGGTGAGGCAGAATTCTCAGTCAGAATGCAAGATGGTAGTGTTCGCTTTGGGGGAGCGGGGAAGGGCGGGGTTGCTTCAAATCAAAGTGTGACCGGCTATTTGACTCTTCTTGGCTGGACAAAAGCTTCGCACCAGTGGTATGGATTTAACCCTCATTGGGATGGGGTGTGAGCAAGAAATTGAAACAGCTAAGACAGTGAGTGGTACAGAGACTGTCTACAGATAGGCTATTTTGGGGGAGGGTCTTGTGTTTTCCCCGTCATGCAACTTTTTTCCCCCTTAAAAAAAAAGTAAATGTGTAGCCAAAATGTGCAATACATTTTTTCCCATATAACAGTAACTGATTTTTCTGGTCCTCCTTCCCATCTGGTTCAATTCCCCAGGTATATAAGGAGCTAGGACAAGGGTCTGAGAAAATACGGAATGCTGGCAGTGGGACCCGTGGGAGGAAGGAGGGAGGAGAGGCGCGCCGTGTTTTGAAGCAGCTGCACAAACACTCCTGGAGTGTGGCCGAGGCTGTGCGAGCAGCCCTTCGTCAGACATGGACACAGGCAAGCGGGATCCCAAGAGGAAAAAACATTCCACTATTCAAACGGCATACACGCTACCCACCCTCCAATTGAGATCAAACGTGCACACTCCGTTTCTGTCATTTGGGCATCTGCTTCTAAGTCTTGTTTCACACACGATTTTGCAAGGACGCCAAGTTCCCCTCCTGGTGCCACGCCCCGCTTCCCCCAGTCCCCCAAGGCAGCTTGCTTCTTCAAACCGCTGTATCAGTGATTGCATATATAATATATATAAAAAGAAAAATTCTCTTTTGGAACTTTTTCTTTAGAACTTCACAGCCAATCATTCAAAGACGTTTCCTCGGACATAACAAGAAAGCATCTGGGGCCACTGCTACGTCAGGTCTCGCTCATCCCGGCCGGCCCTTGGCAATGGCCACGGCCATGGCGGGCTTACTGGCTGCTTGCCCCTTGTGCGTCTCCCCAACATTCAAATGTGCGCCGTGTGTCGAGAGGCGAAGTAGGTCCGCCATGCGTCAACTATGTATGTACACATTAGGCAGCCCCCCCAAAAAATCAACACCAGAAACAACTCGCCCAGAGCTTGCCTTCCACTACACTTGGGCCTGACCTCCCCACGCTGCTGAGACGGTTAAGAAAGTGTGTTTCAGCCATCTTGGGACTGCAGAGGCTGCAATAAAGCAAAGCAGCCTCAGGCCCATCCACAGTTTGTTACTGGTGCCTGGCTCTCAGACCAGGGCACTGAGGGCTGTCGATAAAGCTCTTTCCTCACTTTGGTCAGAGGCATCCATCCCGGGGGCCACTGAACATCAGGGTTCATGCCATGTTTCCAGCACTAGCTCCTTTTTCTGATTTCCCCAAAAAGGCAGCCAAGCTCCCCAAAGCAGCGTCTCTGGTGGCTGCAAGAGCCGCAGCGAGTACTCAGCAGGGCTCACACATCTCCGCTGCCAGGCCCCCAGAGGCAACCAGGGGTTCTGCTGAGACGCTGCGGATCAAAAAACTCTCTCAGGGATCTGTGACACCCACAACGGGACAGGTGGGCAGAGGGCTCCAGCCACCCCCGTTCCTGGTACGCCTGCCGTAGAAGCTGGCAAGTCTCAAGGAGCCTGGTTTTCCTTGTGAGCGGCCAGCTGAGGGGACAGGAGGCTGAGAGGGATATGTGTGGCCGGTGGGTCTTGTGACAATGAAGTTGGCGCTCGGCTCCGTCTGGAGGTGAGGTTTGAGTTACTGAACACAAACAAATGCAAACCAAGAACAAGGACCACTCCTCTGCTAGGGCCCGGGTCTGCTCGGTGGCCACCCTGCTCTCACCTGCGTGTCCTCTCTCAACTGTGTTAGAGGAAATTATAACCTGGCTCTGTAGGCAAGCGCTCGAACGGGAGCAAACAAAGGAGATGCCACAGGTCTGAAAGGAAGTCAGCATGTTTTAGGGGAGACCTATCCTAGGCTTGCTTTCCCCGCTCCCGAGCAGCTCCCAGGGTCTATGAGATGGTGAAGGCAAACGCAAGTGCGTTCGTCTACTCGTTCTCTTAAACCTGGAGGAGCGGTGATCAGGGCCTTCGCTTCGATGGCCCTCCGAATTTGCTACGTCCCCACCTCTGCTGCCAGTGTCCCCATTTGCATCCCGTCCTGGGGCGGCAGCGTGGGAAGCCAGAGAGGCGGTACGGGACAGTTCTGTGCGAAGAGCAGGCGGCTACAGGATCAACCGAGTGACTCACATACATTAAAGGAACATAGGAAGCTAGCCTGGCTCACCGACCAGCAGACCACTGGAAGAGGATACATATTTTTTAAAAAGTATACATACTTTTAAAATGAAGATTATAAACGTGTAGCTGTTCAGAAAAAGGCGATATGCTATTGGGCTACTATGACCACAACTGCACAAGAATTTACAAGAGTCCGTGAGAGGCAGGGCCCGTTCTCAAGCAGGACAACCCGAGCAGGCGGGAGACGGGGGACAAGACCAAATGGAACTCGCCTTGCGCGAGGAGCTGTTCTCACCCCCAGAGGAGTTAGAAAGCAAAGGCGCATGAGGGGACCCCTGGCGGATGGTGGGGGGTGTATAGGGGTGGTGGTGGCCTGTCCTTGTTGGTGGAAGGGGGGTGTCACTGCCCACTGCACGATGCATCAGCAAGAACTCATGCGGGGAAGTCTGTGTGCCTAAGGCCCATGCATAATGTCCCATTTTATACTGTACATGATAAAACAGAGCTATACACTGATATACCTAGTGCTTTTTTTTAATGCAAAGAAAAGTCGTCTTCTATCATGTTGGAGGAGTATGCATATGCTGTGCTAATCAGAGTGCCATTATTCCAGCTTCATATGTACCAAAGGTGTTCCCAACCAGTCTTTCTAATCAAGGAGGGGATCGCGCATCATCACACGTTCCGGGTTAAACCGAAAGCACCTATACAGCACCATACTTTGCAAAAACAAAACAAAACGAAATGAAATTCATAGAAGCTGTAAAGTTTTAAAAAAAAAGTTTCAACTGCCCTAGCTTGTACTTTCAACGGAATCATTTGTACAATGATAATCTAAGCGTATCTATCTACTTTTTAAAAACCAGCTGGTATGCTTACTTCCTCTCCCTCACACTTCTAGGGAACGGGTTACACACAGGCAGGCTGGAAATCATCACAACGGGACGTGGAGGCAGGGGGTGGACTGAGAGCTCCCTCAGCCTCGACTTGACACATTGCTCGGCGCTGGCTCCATGCGCACTCACCTGGTCATCTCTTCTGCACAGGAACACAACTACTTTTTCCCGCTTTCTCCTCAGAAAGTAAAACCAGCGCCACTAAATCCGTTGGTGGCCTTTGGCAACGAGGGACTGCTAAGCTGATTTCTTTCCTGCAGGGAGCTCCTCTCTAACCAGCAAACCAACACTGCTCACTGTCAGCTGAGGATACTGACAGGAAGGTGTGATCACAGGCCCTGCCAGTCTGGTAGTCACAGACTGGGTGCTGGGGGTGGGTGGGAGCTGAGGGGTCTCACCTACAGACCACCGCTGCTCAGAACTGGATATACACTGGGTTGGATGCTAGGCTTCATTGCCTATCTAGTCAGGGTTCAGTCCTGGAGTGCTATGCAGGAGCCAACAACAGTGCCTTTGTTCAGTTTTAAGAAAAGGATAATTTCCTACCAAACAAAAGGAGGGCGAACCGCCCCCACCTCTCTCGTGTATGTAACGGGCTACCTGATCTAGAGTTCCGAGGGCTCAAAAGTTCAGGATGCCCACAGCCAGAACGGTAACTGGCTACCACCTTTTCCTTAGGTTTTGAGGTTTGCCAGGGGAAGGATGGCTGACGTGTCAACAGAAAAATACTGCAAAGTGAATGCGTGAGAAAAGCCCAGAAAAAGTTGAAAGAAAACACAGACAAAAACAACAGGTGGAACACCCCCCTCCCCCATAGACCAACATCCCAGGAGGGAATGAGGGCCCCCCTCCCCCCCAGTGTCACCGCAGGGGTCCACAGTGTGCTTGGGGGGAGGCGGGTGGTGCCGACTGGTGCTGTCCTCCACTGGCAGGTATGTCTCATCCCCTGGTACAAGGAGGCTGTGCGTACTTTAGAGAGTTCTGTTCTGAGAGTAAGTGCTTCACCCTGGGTCAGGGGCCAGTAACAGTCTCTGCTGGGTTAGGAAAACGGCGTGGGATTCACAAAGGTGTTCAGCTGTAAACGGTATCACTGTCCACTTGCTGAGAGCAGATTTGGCAAAGGGTTTTCTCTGTAGGTCTTGTGTCAGTTTGCGGGTCTGGAGGAGGGAAAGAGAAAAGGAGAGGTCAGTTTTTAGGGTACTCGGGGTTCCCCTTTCACCAGCCTCCTGGCTCCTCATCCATCCCACCTCCAGGCCATCATAGGACGTGTTTCAAAAGGTCAGAAAAGCTAAGAATGAAACCTGGGGACTGCTTACCTTCTTCCTGGGCTTACAGGGTAGAAAAGTCTAAGTACTGTAAGTGGAGTTCTTTATTTTGGGAGGTTTGCAAAGAAAGGTGAGTCAGGGGGCTTTTAGTGGGCCCTTGTAGGTTAAAGAGGTCCCTGGTGTAATAGGATTTTGCTCTAGACTTCCAGACCCAGGACCTGTGACTTCAGGGCTAAAACGGGGCATCTTAAGTGGACCAAGTCTACTTTTATGGTTCTCCCCCACTGACTACGTGACCCAACTGATCCTGATCACCACTCTCCCCAGGAATGCCACAAGCCCGGACTGAGGGCAAGGCTGGGCCAACCTTGATTTCCCCCACTACAGGAAGTTAGTATAATTTCTACCTAGGTAGGCAGTCTTAGGAAATTTGTCTTAAAAACCTACAGGGGAAACAATTTACATCATAGATGCATATGATCAAACAACAACCACCCCCCCCACAAACCATGATGGTAACAACTGACCCCTCACTGGCATCCCACCCATGGAAAGGTACAAAGGTGCTCCTCTTAGCACATGTGAAGTTCTACAGGTCTAGTCTGGCTACAAAGAGTCCTGGTGGCATAGTGGGTTACTAGCTGAGCTGCTAACTGCAAGATCAATGGTTCGAATCCACCAGTCACTCCATGGAGGGAGGCAGGGGTAGGGCTGAGGCACTCTGTTACAGTAAACATTTACAGCCTGGGAAGCCTACCTGGGGCAGAGTTCTTCTCTGTGCCCCGGTTGCTTATGAGTTGGAACTGACTTGATGGCAGTGAGCTTGGGGATTTTATTTACTTATCTTGGTTTTGAGAATTGGGCTGCATGTGGCCACTGTGCCCAGAAAAGAGGGGTGTTTTGTTTGTTTGTTTGTTTATAAAATAAAAGGTCTGTGCTCACTGAGATGCAGCTAAAGGAACCAACATGATTCAAGCCATAAGACCTTTTGTTTATGGAAAATACAGTGTCGGCTGTCATGGCAGTTTAAAAAAAGAAATGGCGCCGGGCCAAGGACCAGACAGAAATGAGGTGCTGAAGCAACATGAGTGCAAGTCTTCGCACTGGGCCAGGTGAACCAGGATGGCAAGCACATCAACCAGCCCACAAGCACACTCACTCTGAGGGTCTGCCTACCCCCTTTGGAAGAGACACCTTCAGGCTCATCTGGGATTTGCCCCAGTGTGCCCTCCACTTCAATCCCTCCTGTGACCCCGAGCTTGCTGGCAGTCTTGCCTTTCCAACACGAACATTCAGACAGGTTGTGGGGTGTGGCGGGGACGCAGCCAGGGTCACACTCGCCCTGGTAGTAGCTCGAATACAAGAATGACTGCAGGCAGAGACACACAAATGGCAAAAGGTGGCCGTTTCCCTGGCTGGCTTTCTGGAGCTTGTTCCTTGCTTTTGAAGAGGCTGCAATGCTATCCTGGCCTACGCGCGAATGGCCAACGGAAGTCCCAAGCCTCAGGCCTGCGAGGCACTGGAGCCGGGCCCCTGAGGCAGGTTCACATATGGATCTTTGGAAGGGGTTTCAGCTTTTTTCCTTCACAATAACTGTTCACCAACCACAATCTAACATCACTATGCAATGAATCATCAGGGGGTTATGGTCCCCAAGTCCCGATCCTGACTTACTGCAAGAGCCGAGGGAGAAGCTGAAAAGTATTACCTAATTCACACCCCTCCCCCAGCTCCCTCTGGTGTTAATTATCCCACTGTGGACACCAGTGCACAATGGCAAGGTGACACACTCCCCCCCACCCTCCCCTAAGTACAGAGGAGCATGCAGCCTCCCAGTGCCAGGCCAGTACGGAGGGAAGGCGGGCAGAGAGACCCATCGGCCCCTGCCGAGCAGGGCATCCTTCTCAGCAGAAGGAGATTCGGGCACTGAAACTGGAGGCAGGAGGCCCACTGAGCAGTCCCGAGCTGCAACCAGTAGTAGCAGTCCCTAGCCTGCGTTCCCTCATCAAAAGGGCCCGGAATCTTCAGGGAGCCTCATCATTAAAAGAGAGATGCGCTAATCATCTCTCTTTCCCTGACAGCGGGCTGGGACCAGTGACGCCACGGCCCCCAGGCCTCCCCGGCAATGACTCCTGGGGGAGCCCGACAGGAAGCCGCCCCACCTCCACGCTCGGCTTAGAGGCGGCTCTCGAATACAGGACGCACACATCCACTCACTGCTAACCTCCACGGAACAGAAAGGCCACTTGCTTTGTTGGTGAGAGATGGAAAACCGATTGTAAAATGCTGTGGAAAGAGAGAGGGGGAGCAGGCAAACATGGATGACAAATGCCATTGTCCTTCTGAGAGGGACACCAGAATCCTGACCCAGGGCAGAAACCCGCGTCTGAACAGCTGGCACCAGGAAAGCAGCCTTGCCTCCTTCACGCAGCTCTCTCTGACTCTAATGAGGGCTCAGAGTCGAGGGACCACGAGAAGTCCTGAAGCCAGTCACCATCACCACGCTGGGGAAGCAACGATGCTTTCAGGGGCAGGGGGTGGGAGGGGGTGAGCGCGAGCAGGACCAGAGTCTCCGGGGTTTTGTCTGGGTGCATTTTACCTCGCTTAAAGTGGGATGTTCTGGGTACATGGGAGGTCTCGTGCATCATGCATATGACTGATGGGGGCTTCGAGAAGCTCCTGGGAAAAGCCCATCGCCTCTCAATCCCATTTTCCCCAGACTTCTGGAAGCCTGTCCCATGCATTCGTGCCCTCCCTGTTGTGACACAGCGAGACTTTGGGAAGGAAGAGGGAGCCTGTAGTATAGCGGGTGGGTTTGTAACGTATGGCCCTACACGTAAGCCAGGCAATGTGTCAATAACCCCAGTAACCACGCCAATGCTGCGCAGACGCACCAGTGAATCCCGTGGACAGGGAGAACTTGATGGCCCTGCCCCACAACTAAGTTTGAAACCAGAGAGCACTGATAATCAAATGATTAGGCCGGGTCTAAAAATACCCATGCAGCCTGTCATCTGGTCTTGGGCGAGGGGGGGAGGGGGCCCGCGTGGCAAGTCCCTCTGTGATCTTGGCATCTGCAGGGAAGGCAAATTTCTGCCTAATTATCTCCATAAAAATCACATGATGTTCTAAGAAAGAGAAAAACTCCCTCACCTCCCCCCCTCAAAAAAACCCAACTCCACACAAAACATTAACAACCCCAATCAACTTTAATCTGAAAATAAAACACAAAGATTCCTACTGCTGTCCTCCCACAACTTAACTCTGCCCGAGAAAACTCGGGATTTTTCAACAGCACGTCTCATCCTCTCCACAGGGAAGGCAGGCACGGGATCCCAACACCAACTCTGGGCGGGCAGGAGAGCCACCCGGCAGGAAGAAGTGCCCCCCCCCCACACACACACACACACAAGTTCTCAGAGGTTAGCGTGGGGACGGGGGCTCCTGAGCAGAGCGACAGAAGCTGTCTGCAGTGAGGCGTGCCTAAAAACCTGAGCGACAGTGGAGCGCCCTGCTCCTGCCTCGCCGGAGAGAATTCCTTTTCCGGTCCCTGAGCTCGATACACCGACCACGGGACATGTAGGAGGTGACCCCATGTCCCCCCATCTGACAGGGAACTCCGTGTAGCGTTCAGAAGACTGGTGTGGGCTTCAGCGTAAACCCTGAGGGAGGAGCATCCACCAAGGCTCTTGAGATTGGCGTCAGCCCAGGAAGTCAACATTGTGGAGGGTCTGGGGTTAGGTGACCACATCTGATCTGAGCTTCAACATGGAGTTCATCGTCAGGAATAGGGCAGAGTAGAACTGCTCTGTGGGGTTTCTCAGGCTGCCGTCTCTACGGGAACAGACTTCCGCATCTTCCTCCTTCCTGCAGAAGGGCTGGTGGGCTCCACCCTCAGACCTACCCGCTAGCACCCGAGCACTTAACCACTGTGCCACCAGGGCTCCTTAAATGACACAGTACAGGGCACGCTTCTAAGATTCAATGTGGTTACTCCTGACAGAAAGGATGCACCTTCTTCTCCCATCTTTCCTTCACACCCACCATCCACTCTCTCCCGCCTGCCTGCAGTCAGGAATCCTGCCTCGTTTCCCAGTGGAAGTGCTGGCTCCTAGGACTCGCCCTTCAACAACAAAAGGCGGCTACAGTCCAGGAGGTAAACCGGTGACGTGAATATCACAATATTGACATTTCTCTGGGTGTGATCCTATGCTGCAGGGCTCTGCACTGCATCGACTGGTTGGGGGGGGGTGGGGGGCTGTGTGAATGACTGGGAGGGTAACAGTGCCCCTCATCAGGCTGGAATGCCCAACTTCCTGGTGGGGGATGGGGGGCGGGACATGGACACATGACATGCAGTGCTCCTGGGACATCTGGTACCAAGTCTAGAAGGAGCCCTCCTGAAGTTCTCTTTTTCCAGCTCAAGGTGTACAGGGTTTTGAGAGAACTTCCACTATTTTCCAAAAGCGATTCTGAGGTTGAAAACTCAAAATCAACTATTTTAAGCTCCATAAATACAACCAGTGGAACCACTCACCCAATCCACCTGCAAGGACCCAACCAGGACCAGCAGGTGACTCGGATGGTGGTCACCGACCAGAGAAGGAAACGGAGGAGGTGGAAGGAGACCCTCAGTGCAGGCTCCAACCTACACCAGCACCGGGAGCCCTTGCATGGGGTCCCACCTCACCCTGGCAGCTGGGCAGTACAAGTGGATCATGCCCTCGGCCCTCAGGAGACAGCAGGTGGGCAGCCATTCCTCCGAGGGCCACCTTCTTCGAACAGACCTGCCACTCAACACAGTTTCTGTTCACTCCCATATAGGCTGGTCTATCTTGTTTCTCAGGAACCCTGGTGGTGTAGTGGTTCTATGCATTAGGCTGCTACCCACA